GGTATTCTGTGTTGTTGTTGGCGGAGCTCTATGCTATACGTCCACCCGATCCACCATCTTGTTTGTTCTCAGGAAACATTCTTAAATCTGCTTATGAGTTGTTTTTTACGTTTGCTCTTTTGATTAGTTCTGCCAGGCAATTTCTGTAAAAGCACCAAAGTCTAAAATTAATTGGGGCTTTTAGAATCTATTATTCCTTTCCAAGCAAAATTTTGAACAATAAAGTCTTCCGAACATGGGTGACCCATGATTTGACAGATTTTTGTAAGGAATTCAGTAAATGTGTCTCTTCTTGAATGTGATTTACTGGTGGATTCTGAGTGGAAACATTTGGTGAGTGAGCCGTTAGAGAGTCAGGACTGTAGCGGAGTTCTTTAGATACAGGGTCACTATGAGTCAGAACCAACTCGCCGGCACTTAAACCACAACAGCATTCTTGGTCAGTCGCATTGCCATGAGCACAAATGTCTCTTGCTGAAGGTGTGTATACAAGGAAGTCGGAGATTATGTTTAATAATGTACCAAAAATAAGGAATTTTGGTAGATTAGGGTCAGCAACTTTTTCTGTAGAAGACTTGTTGTTAAGTGCCATGGGGTCAGTTCCAACTCATAGCGACCCTATACAGTGTTTCTGAGAAGTGGCTGGTAGTATTGAACCATTGACCTTGTCATTAGCAGTCCAGTCCTTATCCTACAGTGCCACAGTAAATATTTAGACCTGAGGACCATTCTGTTTTGTACCCATCATTCAACCATGCCTTTGCAGTACAAAGCCACCAGAGGCAATATGTAACAGGAACGGGCATGGCATGGTTGTATTCTATTAAAACTGTAACTCACAAAAACAGGTGGGGCACCAGGTAGTCATTTGTTATCCACGGGGCAATTTGTCAAACCTTTTGTTTTTTGTTTTTTTTAATGCTAACAAATTCCTTTGGAGCTAGTTAAGATTATTTGTTTCACAGGATACTTTGTTCCTTGTTTTGTATGGATTTGTATTTGTTTTGATAGGTATGGCTACCATATTACCAAAGCTTCATATTTTATCTGCCATGATCCAGGCACTATTAAAAAGTTATTTGAAGAACTTAGAAATTACGATGGGAAGAATAATTATCCAAAAACTTGCGGCAGATTTGAAATTTCAGGTATCCGGGATCTTACAACTGGTTATGATGACAACCAACCTGACAAAAAGGCTGTGAGTAAGATTTAGTCTTTTCTTATAGTCAAGATTTTTTCATATTTAATGTTTGTGCATATGTATTTATACACAACCATTAAAAGGTGAAATTGTCCAGTTTTAGTAACTCTCTTTGTAAAGGGCCGGCATTTCTTTTGCCTTAAAATAAAATTTTAGCTTCCCATGTAACACTCTTTATTTTTAAAAGCTTTCATTGTGTATTAAATGAGTGAAGGCTTAGAGGGAAGATCACCGTTTTCACATTGAGCAAATCATTGTAATGATTACAATCCTTTCAGGCACCTTAGCCAACAGTACTTACCTCTGTAACCCTTTTTTCTAGCGTACACATCCCACATTGTTAATATAGATTCATGTGAATGTCCAAAGGGCACATTTTGCAAGCCAGCCTCCTGTCCTCAGGCACACGGCTTTTCTCCGTCCATGGGCCTATAGTCCTTTGCTACGCTTGTCTCTCTATGCCATCACCTCTGCCACCACTTCTGTTGTTACCACTATTCTGCTCTTCTGGTCAGGATCCTTCGCTTCTCTCATGTTCTTCCCTCTTGATAGTACTTGGGTCCCCTGTTTCTGAAACGACAGAGTAACTGCTCCCCCTTTGGTTGCACCTTTTCTTCATTTACAGGTGTGACAATCCCCATTAGAGCTGAAAACAGTTAACTTTTAATTGTATCATAAAGGTTTATCCCCACCCCCATTACCTGACCCATCTGGACAAGAGGAGAACTATTCAGTTAGGTTTCTGTCTTACTCCCTGTGTTCTGACACTGAGCACCCTCATGAAAGCTTGTAAGCCACTGCATCCCATTGTAGCCCCCCAGTTTGGGTAGCCAAAGTCTAAGTTACTTGTCGCTATCAGCCCAGTGTACTGAGTGAGGAAACCTGCTTTATCCTTGATACGGAGACTCCTTCCCGATTTGATTGGAATTTTCAGCAGCCTTATCCTTAATCAAAGGTCTGGTTGATCAGGTTGTAGCGGTTTACACTTGCTCCCTTATCTTCATCTGGTCGAATTCTGGGCAGCAAGCCATGAATAAGGTTTACTCTTATCAACTGAACTCGTCTCTGAAAAATACATGAAGTTGATTGAGTTATTTATTCATATAATGAATTAAAGCTGATTGTAGGCATTAATTATATTTGTTTAACATTTACTTTCCTGTTTATGCAGTGGGTGATATTAATTGTATCAGAATACTTTCTAAAGATGTATTATATAAATATCTAACATGTGGAAATTAATTCCCTAGGTTCTCCCTACTAGTAAAAGCAGCCAAATGATCACCTTTACCTTTACTAATGGGGGTGTGGCCACCATGCGGACCAGCGGGACAGAACCCAAAATAAAGTACTACGCAGAGCTGTGTGCCCCTCCTGGAAACAGGTATGGGTTTAATGGCAGTGGGTAGGGTTTTATAACTTCAGCTTCCAAAGTGATTATTTTCAGAGGCTAAGTAAAGAGTTTCCAATATGCCAATTAATTAGAGATGCTGCTTCAATACCAACCAGCAGCAATATTTGTGAATGATGGTGACAGCTGCTTGAAGCATCCAAGGACAAGATGGTTTACTTCGTCTTGTAGGAAACTGCTATTCCTCTAGTCTCTGCTAACTTTCTTGGTGGAGTCCTGGTGTGAGGCTGTAGGATAAGAACTGGACTGATAATAGTAAGGTTGGTTGCTCAAACCCTTAAAAATCCTGTACAGAGTCGCTATGAGTCAGAACCGACTGCAAGGCACAACAGCTTTCTTTGAATGGGAATGGCTCATGCCTAATTTCACTAATAGTGCGTGTTGTTTTTAAGCGCCATCAAGTCACTTCCGACTCATTCAACCCTGCATAGGGCTTCCAAGGAGCCGCTGGTGGGTTTAAACTGCCGATCTTGCAGTTCAAACCGACCTTGTAGTACAGTGCGTTATCCTACAGCACCACACCAAGATTCCCACGAATAGTATTCGGTTTTTTGGTTGTTTTTTTGTGAATAATTTAAGGCTAGCACCAATGAATATCTGTGTTTTTCTCCTGTAGTCTTCTATGTGTCTGATTTATTAGGTGCCGTCGAGTTGGTTCTGACTGATAGTGACCTTGTGCACAACAGAACCAAACAGTGCCTGATCCTTTGCCTTCTTCACAATTGTTGTTATGTTTGAGCCCTTGGTTGCTGCTAACATGTTAGTCCATCTTGTTAGGGTCTTCCTCCTTTTCAGTGACCCCTTCAGTTTACTAACCATGATAGCGTTCTCCAAGGACTGATCCTTCCTGACAACATGTCCATAGTAATCCATTCCATATGGGTACCTACCAGGCACAGGTCTTATGGACCCCAGGGAGGAAAAAGAGTCCTTGCTGTCAAAGAACTGGTGACCCGGTAGCTTCAGAGCCACATTTCTGTGACCTTAGTGAAGGGTTTGATTTAGTCACTTTGCAACAGCATGACCTTTAAACTTTAACAGCTGTGGTGCATGTAGTTACCACGTGTAAATGTGACACTTTATCCCTGTCTGGTACTCAGCTAACCAACACTTACCAATTCTGAATATTGGTGAGAACTAAGGGGGGAAAAAATGTAAGATGAATTAAGCCAACACTGCCCAGTAGAAATAATACGTGAGCCACATACTTGGTTTGACATTTTTATTAACTGTGTTTTTTAGAAACAAAAATATGTGAAATTAATACTAATAAATTTTATTGGTGAGTATATAAAAAGCTCATCATTATGTGATATATATATATAAACTATTGAGATCTGTATCTTTTTCACATTAAAACTTTTCTTCACCCTATTGCAATTTGAATGCTAATCTTTCATCAGAAATATTTGGTCTATAGTTAGATTTCGTGGAGTCTTCATATGGTGCTACAGGTTTAATGCACTGGACTACAAGGTTGGTTCCAGCCAGTCCTCAGAAACCCTATACAGGGTCAGTGGGTCGGAAGCTACTCTATGGCACTTAACAACAACAACATTTAAATCTCATAAAATTTACAATTGAAAAGGTGAATTTTGAGACCCAAGTTGTGTTCTAACCCAAGTCTTCCAATAACTGAATCAAGAGTTGGTTTTTGTATTTCAACTTCAACTAACTGAGGTGAAATGTTTAAAATTCAGTTCCTCTGTTGTAGTAGCGACATGTCCAGGACTCAGTAGCCACAGTGACTACCTTAGTAGAAAGCACAGCCCTTAGTTGTTCCCACATGTACGAGTACACAGCAAAGCTTTGCTCATAGAAAGATTTTTCCTCCTTATAATCAAATTTGTGTTGTGTGAATATAGAGCAGAGGAAAATTTCCAGGTACCTTAAACTGGCAAACCTGAAGCAGATGCAGCAAGTTGAGAGTCGTGAAGGAAGAATTTAATAAAGTCAGACATTCCTTAGGCAGGAGAAGTGCCTGCTGTAGCAAAGAAGGAAATATTTGACAAAAATTAAATGCGACCAAAAGAAGTTTAAAAATCTACCACTCCAAGAGTTTTATCAGAAAGGAAGTAGTGTCCCCTGTCTCAGCTGTGTCTAAGCATCCTGAGTAACAGTCATGATTAATGTTCCAAATGTCACGGTGTTCAAGTCTTGGTACTATTTAACACATAGATTCCCATTCAAAACCTCTCGTGCTTAAAGGACAAAAATGCAACTATTAAAGTAAATTGAACATTATATGAAACAGCTCATTTTCTAAAAGCTCTGGATTGCCAAAATTTTCTTGTAGTGTAAAATGTGCATGGTAAGTGGTTTGCTTCTATATTGAGTCTGATTTTTCCATTGGCATCTGTTTGTATTTCTTATTATCACTTAGTATTTTCATATTTCTTTGCCTCATTCATTCAGAAACAAATAGGCCTTAGTTTAACTTCTTGTTAAATGCTGTTGAGTTGGTGCCCACTCATAGTGACACTGTATAGGTTTTCCGAGGAGCAGCTGGTGAGTTCGAACCGCTGACCTGTGGTTCAAACCAACCTTGTGTCTGGTGCTTATCCTACAGCACCACACCCGGACTTAATTTACTTAAGGGTGTGTTTTCTATATATACTTATCCTTTCCTTTTCATTGGACTCGTGGTGTGGCACGGTAGGATAAGCAACTGCAAGGTTGACAGTTCAAGTTCACCAGAAACTCCTTGCAAAGCCTATACAGGTTCACTATGAGTCAGAACCAACTCGATGGCACTTTAACAAGAACAGTCCTGAAAAAATGTACTGTAACATTTCAGAAAACTCTCTTTTAGGATAATACAACTTAATGTTAAGGATCTCTGGTTTTTTTATGTTTTATATGGGTTAGTGAGTGAACTTCAAATACTAATCTACAGATTGTTGGAAGTACTTTGGGAATGATTCTTTGTATTATATTCACCGAGATGCTTGTGTGAAATGGACCATTAGGCATTAGGTCAGCTCACAGGTGACCTAATTATTAGGCCAAGGCTCAAAGGAAGCTCCCGCTTGCTAATGGTCTAGCGGTGGCTAAGGTTTCCTTATAACCTGATAACCTGAAATGTAGTTGTAAAGTGTCATTGAGTTGGTTTTGACTGTTGTTGTTAGGTACCGTCCAGTCAGTTCTGCCTCATAGACCTTATTATTATGTACAACAGAACCAAACACTGCCTAGTCCTGGGCCATCCTCACTGTCCTTGCTACGCTGCTGCCACTGGGCCAGTCCATGTCATTGGGTGTTTCCTTCTTTTTTGTTGACCCTCCACTTTACCAGGCACGATGTCCTTCTCCAGGGACTGGTTCTTCCTGATAATATAACTCATAGCAACCCTTTAGAGGGTTTCTGAGGAGTGACTTGTGGGTTTGAACTTCCGACCTTGCGTTTAACTGTCCAGTCACCACAGGGATAAAGGAGTTCCTGGTATAGCACTGTAGAATAAGCACTAGACTGCTAACCACAAAGTCAGTGGTTCAAACCCACCAGCTGCTAAGCGTTGGAAGCAACTTGATGACACTTACCAGCAACAACAGTGGGGCTAAAAGTAATTATAATAAGAAATGTTGTTGTTGTTAAGTGCCGTTGAGTCGGTTCCGACCCATAGCGACCCTGTACAGGGTTTCCGAGGGTGTAAATATTTACGGGAGCAGATAGCCTCATTTTTCTCCCGCGGAACCGCTGGTAGTTTCGAACTGCTAACCTTGTGGTTCACAGCCCGATTCGTAACCACTACGCTATCCATTGCAATCAGTGAATTCTGACTCATAGGATCTCTTTAGGACGAAGTCTACTGTCCCAGAGAACATCCAGGGTTCTGACTCATAGTGACCCTGAATAGGATATCGGAGGCTGTAAACCTTTACAGGAGCAGAAAACCTCATCTTTCTCCCCCAGAGTGCCTGGTAGAGTTGAACCGTTGATAATCCACCAGCTGTTCCATGAGAGAAAAATGAGGTTGTCTGCTCCCTCAAAAATTTAGGTCCCGGAAACTCTGTGGAAAGTTACAGTGAGTCTGAATTAACCAGATGGCAGTGGGTTTGGTTTTTGGTAATTTACAGATCGGAAACTGCCCCATCTTCTCCTGTAAAGTGACTGGTTGGTTAAAACTACCAACATGTCAGTACGCAGCCAAGCACTTAACCACGGTGCCACCAGGCTCCTAATTAGGATAGTAGCTACGTATATTGAGGACTTTGGGCCAAGGTCTGTGCTCAGTTGCTTTGTAGAGTTTGTCTTAATCTACACAACAGCTCTCTTGAGAAGGTAAATGTTTTGAGGAATCTGGGGCTCAGAGAGGCTCAGATACTTGCCCAAGGGCACACAGCTAATAGAGCCCCAGTTAACACCCATGGTAAAGTTGATTCTTTCTGTTATTCTGTTTAGCTATTGCAATGCAAAATGATCTTAACTTGTTACAAGGGCTATCTTTCCAATTAAAATAAAGTTGGCACTATTAAAAATCAAGTCATAAAAAGTCTAAAGTGAAGGATTTCTTTTTTTTAAGTCAGCTTTTCAACTTTCATTACTTAACAGCCCTGGTGTGGCTTTGGAGGTTAATGCACTGGGCTGCAAAGTTGGATTGAACCACAAGATTGGTAGTTCAAGCTCACCAGCTACTAGACAGGGGTCAGAACTGATTCGACGGCACTTTAACAACAACAATAGCAACATGGTAGGCAAGTAGCCTGGCAGGTACATAAGCTGCTGAGAAACTTGAATACATGTCAGTTTTACTCAATATTTACTTTCTAATTATCTGCATGGAGTCCTGGTGTGGTGCTGTGGGCTAATGCGTTGGACTGCAAAGTTGGTGGTTCAAGCTCACCAGCTGCTCCTTGGAAACCCTATCCAGAGTCACTATGGGTCGGAACCGACACGACGGCACTAAACAATAGCAACAACTGGAGTCCTGGTGTGGCGCTGTAGTATAAGCACTGGACCGCAAGGTCAGCAGTTCAAATCCATCAGCCAGTCCTTTGAACTCCTATACAGGATCTCTAGGAGTCAGAACTAACTTGGCAACACTTAACAAGAACAGTTGTCTACATATAAATGTTTCCCACATGCTTGAAAACTTGATTTCCTTAGGAGTATCTGTGTCCCTGTTGTTGCTAGCAACTCCATGTTAACGAAACACTGCTCTGTCTTGCTTCACCCATTGATGCGTTGAGATCAGACCATTGTGATCCATGGAGTTTTCAGAAGTACATTACCTGGCCTGTCCTCTTTGTCCATTGTAGTTGTGAAGTTCCACTAACCTGCTCAACATCAGAGCAACACAGACTGTCACAGTGGTAACTGGGTGGTTACTGGGCATGAGGTGCATAGTCCAGGAATCAAACCCAGGTCTCCCGCATGGTAGGCGAAAATTCCAATGTTAAAGTGCCATCGAGTCTCTTCTGACCCATAGCAACCCTGTATAGGGTTTCCGAGGAGCAGCTGATGAGCTTGAACCACGAACCTTGCAGTTGAAACAACTTTGCAGTCTGGCATATTAACCCACAGCGCCCCACCAGGACTCCCAGTCTAGCTCCTTGGTGTTGCTGTTAAGTACCATCGAGTCAATTCTGACCCGTAGTGACCCTGCATAGGGTTTCTGAGGCTGTAAATATCCCATGGAACAGCTGATAGTTTCGAACTGCTGACCTTGAGATTCACAGTCCAGTTCGTAACCACTCTGATAGCTTCTTGTTTATACTTTAGTTGTGCCCCTTTAGCCCTGGAGGTGGAATGATAAAGACCAACCCCACTGGGTCTGAGTGTGTGGCTGCAGTCCATACAGGCTGCTCCGCCTCTCCTCTGACCATTGGAGGAAGATTGTACAGACAAGTCTGCAGTTGAGCTTTCTAGTAGTTTAACAGCAAGCAGGATTAGGAACATTCCTGTCCCAGGAGACAGAACTCAGCAGAGACATCTTGTTTTTAAAAGATCAACAGGATTTAATAACAACTGGAGTCGTCAAAGTTTTCTCTGTCCTGTTAAGTACAAACAGTGCAGATCTTTTAGCCATACTAGGGCAAGCATGGTGTTTCTTCAAGATTCTTATGAGAAGAGCAAAGGAATGATTTTGTTAATAGTACAGACCTTGAAAAAAAAAAAAAAAACTTTAGGGAAAAATCAAGCAAGTTGTCTCATGGGGTTTGGGTCTAAATCAACAGATGCATTCCAGTGTTTCCTTCATCAGGGTTGTGTTTTCTCTGATTTAACCTTGCTATGGAGTCCTGGTATGGCACTGTGGGCTAATGCATCAGACTGCTAACTCGTTTGAACTGCAAGGTTAGTGGTTCAAGCTCACCAGCTGCTCCTTGGAAACCCTATACAGGGTTGCTGTGGGTCGGAATCGATTCAACAGCACTTAACAACAACAACAACATTGAGGTTAAATTTCAATGTTACTTAATGAATACACTGAGCAATTAGAAAATGCTTTGGCATTTTGATGTGGAATTTTTTGTCTTTATTTTTCAGTGATCCTGGGCACCTGAAGAAGGAACTAGATGAACTGGTCAGTGCTATTGAAGAACATTTTTTCCAGCCCCAGAAGTATAACCTGCAGCCAAAGGCCGATTAAAAGATTCCATCCTGGGACTAGATGAAATGTACCTACCATTCAGCTGAACTTGAGTTGTTAAGCAGTGTTTATAGGACCAGTAATTTAGTATGTTACTATAAGTATTTATGTTCTTTTAATACATTCACATTCCTTGTTTTACATTTGATTTTTAAAATAGATAAGAGAAAATGGCCAAACCTACATTCTGACTGAAAGGTTGAACGTGGTATATTTTCAACAACAGCAACAAGATCAATAAAATTTAGGAAAAGTATATTTTGCATTTAATTTTTTTTAAGGGTTGAACCTGGGTATTTTCTGAATTAAAAAAACAAAATTTAGATGAAGCTTTCAAAAATAACTAACCTTGGAAAACAGTATTGTGATTAACATGCCTTAATTTGCATAGCTCTCAAATGTATTGCGGGCTCTATAATTCTTTTTATGTGTAATTGAAATAACACAGAGAGCCTATGTCATTACTAAGGTCTGTGCTTGCAGGAGAGTAACTTTTTAGGTATATATGTACTTACATGTTTATCACTTTGCTCATAAAGTAAAATAAACAGATCAGATACTGTGTTCATGTTTAGGGAACAACAGAGTTCATAGGAACCTGAAAAGTAGAGCAAAAGAGGCTTTAAGAAGACAAAATGGTTTTTTTCACCCAAAACTTTTTAGCACTCATCATCAAACTCTGTGTGTGTGTGTGTGTCAAAAATCAGTTTAATCGCCTTGGTTTGGTTCTGTTAAAATCATACCTTTAAATCTTGAAAACCAGACCTTTTATTGTCTTTTTTTTTTTTTTTTTTTCCAGTTTAATGCAGTTTCAACATCATTCTTAATTCTGAGACAATCGTGGCTGTGAGCATTAGCTATTTAACAGACCTTGATGTATAGTTAGTTCATGTGTGATCATAATCTAAACCTAGATTTTATTATAATATATTCCACTTAACCGTTGCAAGGTTGGTTTGAACTACAAGGTCGGCGTTGAACTACAACTTCAAACTCACCAGCTGCTCCTCGGAAACCGTATACAGGGTCATTTTTATGTCATTTTTTATTTTGAATTTGAATTCAAATTATTTGCAGTAAATGCCTATTATCATTATGATTATTATCAACCTAAATGGTTCTTAGAGTCCTGGTATGGTGCTGGAGGGTAAGCACTGAGCTACAAGATCAACTTGAACCTCAAGGTTGGCGGTTCAAGCCCACCAGTCACTCCTCAGAAATGCTGTACAGGATCTTTATAAGTCGGAACCGACTCGACGACACTTAGCAACAACAAATGGTTATTAGTAGTTTTAGAACAAAGTGAAATAGCAATACAATTATTTTTCCAAAGTAAAGGATGAAAATGTTTTTAAATGTTAGTGATTCATAGCTTGTATCTTACCAGAACTCTCATATCGACAATATTCGATATATTCTATCAGCTGTTTCATTGTAGAATCCATCTTTATTTTGTTTATAATGTTTCATAGTATCAAACTATACTCTGGAAAAAGAACCTTAGATCAGTATCCTTTTTACAAACAACTTTTTACTGTAAATTGAGGGAAGGTTTGCAGAGCAGATTATCAGTTTTACATCCAACAAATCATTGATTTCATTTCCTGTCAGTGAGTGCAATCTGCTCAGTATAACATCGGCTATCCAACATCCTCCTTGTCATTACTGTTCCCATTCCACTGTCTTGCCCAAGCTTCTGACTGTTGCCCATTGGTTAATGCTGCCCTTTCCATCCTGAACATACCTCACCAGTGTCATTGTCCCCAATGTACCTGTCCACTGCTGGGCTGGAAATAGAGCCATAAGGGTGAGCTCATTTCTAGACCTGAAGAATAACCAAGGGGCACAGTCTTGGGTTACTCCAGTCTCGTTCTCATCAGTAAATCTGGTCTTTTTGATACTTTGGGGTTTTGTGTCACATTTGCTCCCACTCGATCCAGGACCTAATATGAACCCCTTCAGAGCAGGTGGGAGTGGTAGCCGGCCACCACTAGTTCTGACCTCAGGGTCATGGTTATCCATGCTCACTTGTTCCATTAGTCTGCTGGACTCATTGATTGCAAGCATCTTCAATTTTCATCATCATTTTTTCCTCTGGACAGGAAAAGACCAATGGTTGCACCTTAGATGGCCATTCATAAGCTTTTAAGATCCTAGTTGCTACTGACAAAAAGTAGAAAGTAGAATATTGTGTTTGTGGGCTGTTAAGTGCTGTGGAGTGGTACTAACTCATAGTGACCCAGTATAGGGTTTCTGAGGAGTGGCTGGTGAGTTTGAACAGACGACTTTGTGGTTCAAACTGACCTTACAGTGGAGCACTTACCCACAGTGCCACACCAGGACTATGTGCCAGTTGACCCTGGTATCTCCCAAGACTTTGTTCTTGAGCTCCCAGGCCCAGCACCTCATTCCCTCGAGGTACAAGCATTTTTTTCTTTTTTTGAGTACTTATCATGTATCTTGTAATAAAGTTTGTTTTAGATATACAAAAGTGATTTAAGACCTAACTATGCTGTGATGAAAGGAGCCCTGGTGGGGGTGGGGGTTAGGCATTGGACTGCTAACAGGCACTGTCAGCAGTTTAAACTCACCAGCTGTTTCACAGGAGAAAGATGAGACCAGCTGTCTGCTCCTGTAAAGCTTGACAGTCCCAGAACCCCTGTGTACTATGTAGGGTCACTAGGAGTTGTCATTGGCTCGGTGGCAGTACTGTGGCTTGGGTTTGGTGCTGTGATGAACTTCATAGGTGGAGGGCTAATGTTAACTACTGAATGATTCTGCCTCGTGGTGATACCCTGTTTTACAGAGGAGAACTGTGATCCATAGGGTTTGCTTCACTCGCCTCATGGCAGGGCTTCAAACTGTTTTGAAAGAGTCAAGGGAAACAAGGCCAGTGTACACGTTGCATAGTAACCAAATCTTTTGTACGTGGGATTTTGGACCAAGCAGCAAACAGGCAGTGGTGCCCTGCCCAAAGATGACAGCTGATCACACTGCTTTGGGTGTGTGCCGTGGAGCAGTTGGCCTCCATCTTTGAACTGGGCACCGCTGCTTGTTTCCTACTCTGGCCAAAATCTGATTTGGGTGGCTGTAGGTCCTGGTGTGGTGCTGTGGGTTAATGCATTGAACTTCAAAGTCAGTTTCATCCGCAAGGTCGGTGGTTCAAGTTCACCAGCCACTCCTCGGAAACGCTATACAGGGTTGCTATGGGTTGGAACCAACTCGATGGCGCTTCACAGCAACAGCATGGTACGGTTACACCATCGTCGTTTCCAGCAAACGTAACTGAAGGGTTTTGAACTGATTGGAAACCCTGCCTTGTTGGACCCGATAGCCAGGCCTAGCTTTTGAGGTATCACTGTGTGGATTCAAACTGCCAGCTTTCAAGTTAGCAGTGGAACGAACACATTAGCAAACCATGTGTGCTGCCTAGGAACTACAGTATTCACACATTTTATAATCGAGGTATTAGCAGATTACTCAGCATCTATAAGTAAGAAAGGGACATTCATTCTACCCAGAGGAAGCCACATAGAGGTGGTGATGAGCTGCTTCACCTCCTGGGATGGGTGGCAGCCCAGGATTGAGGAGAAAGTGCCCACGATCACAATATGTGTACATGTGCTGGCAAGGAACAACAGGGAGTAGACAGGAAATGGTGAAAACAGCTCCCAGGTTTATACATCAAGACTTACCCACTTAGGTAGAGAAGGTAATTTTGTTAGGACTAGAGGGAAGCATGATGGAACGGTAGGATAAGCACTGGACTGCAAACCACAGGGTCAGCAGTTCAATCCCACCAGCTGCTTCTTGGGAGACCAGTGAGGCTTTCTGCTCCCACAAAGATTTACAGCCTCGGAAACCCTATACAGGATCGCTATGAGTTGAAACCTACTCTACAGCGCCTAACAACAACAGAGGGGATCCTCCTGAATCTATTTCACTTGTGTTTCTGAGAAATAGTATATTTTTGTTCTAAAACAGATTTTCCTGTTATCATGAAGTATGGAATAGTATCGTGTGGTGCAGAAAGCTCACAATGCAAGTCCCTTGGATTCTTATTTTGATCTGCTACAAACCAGCTCTGTGGCTTTGATCAAGTCACTTAATCTTTCAAAGCCTCAACTTTGCTAAGACAAAGAGATTGTGCTAAATGGTCTCAAAAGGCAACTATCTGCATCGGTAAATCTTTGACAGTTCTCTGGAAGAAAGTAGCTAGTCCTGATACAAGACCTAACAACTGAGATTCAAAAAACCAAATCCACTGTCATTAAGTTGATTCTGACTCACAAAGACCCTACAGAAAAGAAGAGAACTACCCCCATAGGATTCCCAAGGCCAGGGAAATGCAGACTCTTACATACATGTCTCTCCTGCAGAGCAGCTGGTGGGTTCCAACTGCTGACCTTTAGCTTAACAGCCAAACACTTAACCACTGCTCCACCAAAAAACTCCTTTGTACCAGAGAAGGCCTCGTGTTCATATCATGCCTTGCTTGCCCCTGGAAGGGGATGTGTAGTAAAACTAGGGACAAGCAAGGGCAAAACCATGCAACGTGCAGCCATGGTGAAAAATTCTGCGCCAGAGGAAAGCCGTGCTAACCAGTGGTCTGGACGGGTCTGTCACAGCAACCTGCTCTGTGTTCCAGTCAGCAAACCTGCTTGGAAAAGGCCATCTAATGAGGCAGCCCGTTTTCCCTTTGTGTCCAGAAAGAGCAGGCCCTAGTTTTAGTCTGAGAGTACCCAGGAGGAGGAAATGCAGCTGCTCTCTGAGTAAAGAGCCAATGGCTACCTTCCATTTACTTAGCTCACCAATTTACCTCAATCATCTTGCTATTCAGGGAAAGTATTACTATTTCCCTTGATGCTGAAAGCCCCTGTGGTTTTAAAAATGTTTTAAGTGGCAGAACAAATGTGTCCTACTTTGAAGGGATTTTGAAATGATGCATCTTCATATTTCTCATTTCTACATCCTAAAAGACCACATCCTGAGAGCTACTT